AGTCTCGGCCCACTCCTGAAACCATATCATATAATTCAACTGGCTCTGAGTCCAGGCCCGATTTTTTTCTGCCCACCAAGCGTTGGCCCACGAACAAGCTTCTCCAGAACATAGTTCTTCTTCTTCCTCAGGCACGTACCCGACTGCGTGACAGGTGCAAAACTTTACCTCCATCATTGCCTGCTTACTGGCACTTGATTCCGCTGCCTCGGTCGATGCTCTGAGCACATCGCAAATTCAAAATATTATTGCCCACTTAAGCGCACGGCTCCACCAACCGCACTCCACCATCTCGCCGGACAGCTTCTCTCCCCCCACTCCCCCCACCAATCATGTCACTTCTGATCTTCACACGGCAGGTATATCATTCAAACCCTTCTGCCTTTCTAGTTTCACAAACACACTTACCTCTAAATGCTAGATTATTGACTCTGGAGCCACACATCACAAATGTTGCACACCCACCCTTTTCACAACCCTTAAGCATGTTGAACCCATCCCAGTCACTTTACCAAATGGTAGTTCAGTGCTAGTCACTCAACTTGAAAATGTACTCCTCACCGACACCCTAACCCTACATGATGTTCTATTTGTCACTCATTTTTCCTTTAACCTTGTCAGTGTAAGCATGTTGACCACCATCCACAACTGTACGGTTAATTTTTCTCTCCATTCTTGTGTCATCCAGGACCACACTCGAGACTTATTGATTGGGAAGAGTAAATGCATTGGCAACCTCTACTACTTAATTACTAGACATTTTCATTTTTCTGCTGTTAATTTTGTTTCCGCTAATTTTAAAAGTAGGCTACAGCACTTTAGAATGGGTCATCCTTCCTATGTAAAACTTCAGTATATTAATAAAGATTTACAGACTTCGAATATTTTTCATTGTAAAATTTTTCATTTGGTTAAACAACGTAAATTGCTTTTTGTTTCTAACAATAAAGTATCTGATCATCCATTTGATTTAATCCACATTGACATTTGGGGTCCTTTTTCCACACCCACTATCGAGGGATACAAATACTTTCTTACCATTGTTGACGATTGCACTCGCACTACTTGGGTGTATCTTCTTCGTCAAAAGTCGGATGTTCTTACTATTTTTCTTGACTTTTATACTCTTGTCCTTACACAATATAAAACTCTCACTAAATCTGTGAGATCTGATAATGCGCATGAGTTGAATTTTCATTCATTTTTCATGTCAAAATGCATTGTTTCTTATCATTCATGTGTTGAGACTCTCCAATAAAACTTTGTTGTCGAACGCAAATATCAACACATTTTAAATGTGGCACGTGCCTTTCTATTTCAATCTCATGTCCCTATTGTCTATTGGGGCGATTGCATCTTGACTGCTGCTTACCTTATCAACGGTACACCTTCCCCCTTGTTATCTAATAAAACTCCATTTGAATTATTATCTCATAAAAAATCATCCTATGATCATTTGCGTACCTTTGGTTGTCTATGCTATTACTCCACTTTCGATAGTCATCGCCAACTTTACCCCATTTCATCCTTCCTTACTTATACAAAGCTTACACCTCAATATCACAACTTTATTTGTGTCATTTCCTCTCACACTGAGCCTACCACCTTCTCTGAGGCTGTCCAGTCCGATGTTTGGATGACCGCTATGAATGTGAAGCTACGTGCTTTAGAGAACTATTATACTTGGTCTATTATTTTTCTTCCACCTAGGAAGAAAACTGTTGATTGTAAGTGGGTCTATAAAGTTAAATATCAAGCCGATGGGACCGTAGAGAGACACAAAGCCCGTCTGGTTGCTAAGGGCTACACACAACAATTTGGCATTGATTTCATTGACAGTTTCTCTCCTGTTGCAAAATTGGTTACTGTAAAAATTTTACTTTCACTGGCTGCTATTCATGGTTGGAGTCTGACTCAGTTAGACGTCACCAATGTTTTCCTTCATGGTGACCTTCACGAAGAAGTTTATATGAATATTCCTCCAGGCTATTCTCCTCGAGAGGGGGAGACTCTTCCACATCAACCTGTTTGCCGACTACACAAGTCAATCTATGGGTTGAGACAGGCTTCCCGACAGTGGTTTCATAAGTTCTCACAAGTATTACTTCAAGAAGGTTTCCATCAGTCACAATGTGACCACTCCTTATTTGTCAAGCATTAGGGTAATGTTTTCCTAGCATTGTTGGTGTATGTTGATGATATTGTTATTGCTGGTAATGATGATCATGTCGTCGAAGAACTCAAAGTTGCACTCAAGTAAAAATTTAAAATGAAAGATTTAGAAACTCTCCGATATTTTCTTGGACTTGAACTTGTAAGAAATGACACAGGAATCACCTTATACCAAAGAAAATATGCTTTGGATCTGTTAACTGAAACTGGATACCTTGGTTGTAAGCCCTCATCTACTCTCATGGAACCCAATATTAAGATGTCTAAAGATGATGGAGAACTTCTGTATGATATCACAAGTTATCAGCGATTGATTGGAAAATTGTTGTACTTAACTATCACTCGTCTTGATATATATTATTCTGTCAATAGACTGAATCAGTTCCTTGCTGCTCTCAAGACCAGTCACCTTCGAGCTGCTTTTCGGATTCTTCAGTATATCAAGAGAACACCTGGATAGGGTCTCTTTTTTCCTTTATCATCTGCCATTCAGATTAAGACTTTTTCTGATGCTGATTGGGGCACATGTCCTGACACTAGAAGATCTCTAATTGGTTATTGTATTTTTTTGGGTCTTCATTAGTCTCATGAAAATCAAAGAAACAGCAAGTTGTATCTCGGTCATCTGCAGAAGTTAAGTATCGTTCCATGGCCAACACTACATATGAAATAGTGTGGATTCTGAATTTGTTGCGAGATTTAAAGGTGCAATATCAAGGTCCTGCATTACTTTACTGTGATAATCAGGCAGTTCTACACATTGCTTCAAATCCAGTATATCATGAGAGAACAAAACATATTGAACTTGACTGCCATTTTATCTATGAAAGAATTCAAGATGGTACATTGAAGACGATGCATATATCCACTCGGAATCAACTGGCAGATTTAATGACAAAAGCACTTCATCCTACGCAGTTCGACAATTTATTGAACAAGATGGGTACAATAAATTTGTATTCTTCATCTTGAGGGGGAGTATTAAGATTAATTAGAAGATTAATTAGTGATAAGATGAAATTAGTATGTTAATTGTAACCGTTGTTGTCTTTTCTCTTTGTCATTGTACAATAAAAACTGCATATATTTTCTTTGGCTGTCAATGAATACGATCAGAAAATCAGAGTAATTTTCTTCTTCATTATGCTCTTTCTTCTCCTTTCTAACAAGGAACCAGATATATTAGGGCTTGTTTGGGAAAAGAAGTAGAAGGTTGAAGCGCATAGAGATCCACATCACTCATGCCAGACATTGGGTTTTTGTTTGATGATCCAACCCTCACACACAGAGATACTTCGAACAAAAGTATAAGAAAAATGAGTTATCATCAACTGCAAATTTCTTGACGGATATAAATTGTTTTTAAATTGAAGGAACATGCAGTATACTTCTAAATGGTTAAATGATCAGATGCATTATACTATTATTATGTTATCCAAATTGCAGGGAGGTACCAGATGTCAGAATAAGTAGCAACCCAGCTTGATTAGTAGATGAAGCAGGTTGATTAATTGCTGCTACATGCGAATATAAGTATTAAACACCGTGACTAATCATTTCATATTATGGGTATCTATTTTCGTTTTAAAGTTAAAATTTATTTAAACAATTATATTCCTTGGAAATACAGAAACGTTTTAGTTTAATCTCCACATGATGTTTTTTTGTATGCCTGGAGGTGGGAGAATAAACTTGCCAAATGTCACTCAATGGTTCTAGGAATACACCCTGGCAGTACAGTAAATTATGTTATTAAGTTATAATACAAATAGGAGTTGATTCATGTTTTTCTATCATCCCATCAATGCATATTCATGTTTAGGACAACTGTTTTTTCCAGCTAAATTCTAGCTAATAGTTGTATTCTTGAATTTTCAATTATTTTATTTGTTTTATAATATTTATTATCTATATATGGTGGACAAATAAATACTTGTTCACATAATATAATTTGGAATAAAAATCTAAAAGATACTAACATAAAAAAAATAATGAGTAAATGAGAGATGATAATTTCAACTTTTGTCCTACCCTCACCAATCTTACAATTGAACTTTTTAAGGAAATGCCAAAGCACACTCCAAAAGAACTAAAAACTCTCCACAACCCCACCATTGAAGTTTTCAAAATTTCTTTGTACTTTGCAGGTAGAGACAAAGAGCTCAGTAAGTTGTTAGTGTTAGGAAATTGATATTTGCATTAATTATATAATAACTTTCATACAAGATTTAAGCTCGTGATTTCTTTTTTTTTTTCCTTAAAATTTTAATTGATTACAATCATATCAAAGATTTTATACCTATACAAAGAAGTTATTCTAACTCAATTTATTACATATGTTAAACCTTTTATTACATTTGTAAACAAAACAATATTTTTACTATTCGACCCATATAGAAGTAAGAAATAGTCTCTTTAATCCATGATCAAACGATGTACAAGCAGTGCCAACGAGTTTTTAATGCTCTAAAAGAGTATAGTTGTGTTAGTTATGCGAAAATCACTATAGCAGGAGATTTTTGTGATGTTTTTCTTCTTATTGTAAAGGCAACAACTCTTAATGATTGTCCACTACCTGAAAAGTAAGTTCTTGAACTCTTAAAAATCTTCTCTATATCACCTTCGTTGATTAATGCTTTTTCCCTTGGTTTTACTCACCGTTTTGGCAACACTAAGTGTTGGCGTGTTGCCCTAAAATGCCTCCTCCTTCTCCACTGCTTGCTTAAGACATTGCTTGAGAGTAGCCCTTTTAGGGCAGAAATGCTACGGAACCAATCAAATGATTTGATCACTCTTTATCCATGTCATTTTCATGACAACTCATCATCAACGCCTGAAGAGTACTCTATGTTTGTCAGATCATATGCTCAGCTGTTTGATGAAATTCTTGGTTGCTTCATAGATTCCAATAAAATATCTAATCACAAAGAAAAATTTATTGAAAATTAGCTTATCAGATAAAATGAAAAAAAATAAAAAGAATTGTTGAAATTTTACCTCAACTTCAGAGTTTAATAGATAGAGTTATGGATTGTAGACCAATAGGACCAGTAGCTAAAAGCTTTATTGTCCAATCAGCAATGAAGCATATAATTCGAGATATATTATTACAACATGGTCAGGAACTATATTATTTTCGTTTTAGATTTTCTCTTTCAAATGTCGTATGAGACTTGCATATCAGCTTTTGGCATCTATAAGAAAGAAGCTTTGCAAGCATATCAGTTGTGTGAGTTTTATGATTGGTGTAAAGCTATGAAATTATGTGGGTTGTACGTGTACCCTTTTGTTGATAAGATTCCACATATTCATATTCATGCTCTTGAAGCATTTCTTGATGGGATGTAGCAATTGACAGACTTATCATCATCATCATCAACATCTACATTGTCTCTAGAGGAATCAGGATCAAGCTTATTGACAAGAGAGGAAGCAGACAAGCAGTTGGTGATCCCCAAGAGCAACATAGTTATCACTACAAAATGGGAGAAATTTGAGGGAGATAATGAGAAGGCACCATTGATTCAATGGGAAGATAAAGAAAAGGATAGCTGGGAGGATCTTCTTGAAGCTTCAGTTAACTTGGATTCATGTGTTACTCAAAACAAGTTAGTGTGGCCTTACAATTCTGATGTTTACTGCTATGGATACAGGTGCGAGTATGATGATTATATATGGAGAGGAGATCATGGAGATCAAGGAGACAAGGGTGAAGGGAAACTGCAAAACTATAGCCATCCAAATCCTTTTTTATCCACCTTGTGACATCCATTTATCATGGATCATCCGTGAGTAATACTACTATACCTGGAGATTGTAATACATGGTGATCAGTGCATTCTTTTTCTTGGGTAACTAGGTGCGAGTTCAAGAACCAATTGCTTCATTTGTTAATGGAATAACAAGAATTTTGGCTTTCAGCATGTACTATACTGACTTGGATAATTTAACAGTTAATAGCTTCTGGATTACGTATAGATATTCGCATGTGATATGTTTTGGGAAAAATTAATTTTGCATGGTCAAAACACAGCGCAGGTTTTACTTGACATCCTACTTTGCACTTTATTTTTACACAAGCACTACTTTTCCAAGATATAAAGCAACCATAATATAGATTAAAACTCGGTTACCCAACAAGCAAATTTTCCTTTTCTGCTGACTGAAAAAGTTATCAATTAACCATCACGTTTATCAAGCAAAATCCGAGAATGTAAGTAAAACCCTCTACGTTTGTAGCTACAGCAAGTTACAAAATCTTATCAATTTTCTTTTTCTCGTCACAAAAAGATACAGGTACCCAAATGGTATAAGATGCATTACATGGCATCCTCTTAATAATTTACAATGTTTTTTACCAAACTGTATGAACCAATGGCACTTTCCAATTACTGTGCTTCCCTGTAAGAGCCGTAAAAAAATTCCAGACCCAAGGTTCAAAGAAAACTTGAGACAACTGGAAAAGGGGACATGGTCGGGAACCCCTTGGTTATGCAATGTTTGCTTTGTACATCTACTATCTAATAAACAAACAACAGTAGTTCACCCCTGCAGGTATTTCATTAACTTGGCAATGCTGATACTACTTTCGATGCCTACGCTTCTGTTCAGCCCTTTGTCTCTTCTCATCATCCCACTCTCGGTCGTAAATCCTAAACTATGGTTAAGGATTGGCATTGCTTCACTTAATAGAGTTCCAAATATAAAACAGGATATAATTAATGCGAGCATCAAGTGCTAAAAGAACTAGTGCTCACACTAGAGTAGAAGCCTATGTCCTCCATTAGGTTACCAACACCGAAGGAAACTATAGAACATGGATTTCTTATGAGATGAGCAGAATATTGCAACATGTCATTTCAAAGAACACGTGGTTCTATGCACATGTAAATCAACTCAGATGCAATCTTTGTATCAGATCTAAATGCATGACACATCCATCATATGGTTTCAAGGATACGGATCTGTGTCACGACGAGACATCTTACTGGCTACTTCTTTGCCGTGAATCCTCATGCCTGGTTCTTCCATGTAACCTGTACGCTGGATCATGGTTCCTTTACGATCCACTCTGTCTCTCCCATCATAAGATTGAGACATACTCATCACAAGAGGTGGAGCAGCAACAGGAGAGTACTCACCAGGTTCTCCTGATGGCATATGCTCCCGCTTAAGTTTCCGCCTCTTTGAGGCTGCACTAGCATCCATATCCTCCTTCAAAAGGTTAGCTTTCTCTCTTTCCCTCTCCCTCTCTCTTTCTCTCTCCCGTTCATCTACCTGCACACAGCAATCTATATCTAAGCCAATATTCACTTTTAAGTGCAATGGGCAAAACCACTGAAAACAATTTCATCACAGAAAGAAAGCTGCTAATGTTAACATAATATATTCAGACGATGAGAACACATTAAAAGCTAGGTATAAGCCTTACTACCAAACATCAATAAAATATCTATACCATGTAGAAGAACATGAAAATAAAAAAGAAAGGTCCTCCAGTTAAGAGATTAGCATTCTCTTCATAGGCCCTCAAGTGAAGAAATATGGAAAGCAAAAAGAAGACCCCTTGGACTACCTGCATATTTCATTTATTGAATAACTTAAACTACCTGTATTCGCTCCAACCTGAATTAGTGATAGGTTTTAAAACCCTTGACATTTTGCAATTTTCCTTTTTTCACCAATAATAGAATCTTAGTGGTTCACCAAAAAAGCTTATTATCTGCTAATAGCATTTCCTCGAATAGTGGTAAGAACATGACTTTTGGTAATGAAGTTTATCATGTAGCCTAGACATGAATTGGCTTACTAACAAACTAAGCAGATTACATATAATCCTTGAAATTTCTTGACAGTTTGTGACACATGAATTGGCTTACTAACAAACTAAATGAATTACATATAATCCCTCAATTTTCTGGATATTTTATATTTATAGTGGAATTATCAACAAAAGCTAATGTTTCCTCGGATAAGGTGCTGGAGTATGAGCTGCTAAATTTCCTATACAGTTCATGTTGAATTGACTAATAGAAAGTAAATCACATATGGAAGTCCAAATTTCTAGATAGTAAATGTGACCATGGAATTAGTTATCAACAATTGTAATGTATACCTTCATCATCAGCACCTCACGGTCTTCACGCTTTCTATCTCGAAAATCATCATCTCTTCTACGCTTTGCATCATCCTGTGAAATTGATGCATTTTCTTCTGATCGCCTCCGTTCTTTTTCTTCATGTCTTGGAGATAGCCTCTGAGCATGTCTGGTAGTTGCAAACCTCCTATCAGTATCTTCCTCTCTTCTGCCAGTACCAGCAACTGATTGTGGGACCATATGAGGAGGCAAAGGTGGTGGTGGGGGTAAATTTTGCCCATGAAACCGCTCGTCAACATGAGATTTTTCAGTAGTATCACTATGACGTAATTTACCTCTATCATCTTTATTCCGTTCATCCTTTTTGTCATTGATTCTATCAAAATTCCTATCTGTGCCCCTATCTTGCCCTCTGTCAACTGAACGCTCTCTACCATATCTTTCCATTGACCTATCCCTTGATTTGTCAGCCAAATTATCATCTCCTCGGGACTTTTCGTTACGCTCCATTCTTTCCCTATAGTCCCTATCATATCTTTCAGTACCCTTATCTTTTGACCTATCCAGAGGCTTATCCATGGCTCTATACATACTTTGTTCATCAGTTCCTGCTTTCTCAAGATCCATTAGTCGAGGATCAATTGACCTCTCTCTTTCAGACATGCGAATATCACCCTCAAAATCTTTTGATTCGGCATCCCCCTTCCGACGTTTACTTAATCTATCAGTTTCTTCAACAGGACTAGTTCGTTTCTGCAGCTTATCACCAGACCTCGAAGCAGTGGCAGCATTATCGTGCCTCGGGGAATGAACAATTCGAGAAGGTGGCCTTGACACATCAGAAGCTTCAGTTCCATCATCTTTCACTACATTGGACCTCATTTCTGAAGACTTAAGAACAGTGTCTGACTTTGATTCAATGCCATGAACATCTAGTGTTCTTGTGGATGAGGTTGAACCTTTGGCTGAAGCTGTAATCGTGCTACCATTAGCTAAGGAAGTGGAACTAATGTTCAGAGCTCCACCTTGCCTGGTCTCAGAAGCATGAGAAGGGAGATCTCTATCACTGGTGGGAGTGCCTGAAGTTCTTCCAACAGCTTTTCCAGACTTGCTATCATCTTTTCCTAGATCTTGCTTTGTTGATTTATTAAGTATTCCAGTAGGCACCAATCGTTTCGCTGAAGCTTTCATCTGCAAACAAGAGAGAAATGTTAAAAATTAAGAGTAAAGAAAAATTATAGAAAACTTTTACAAGATAAGAAGTTAGAAACAGGCACCAAGTGGGCCCATATAAAATTTTCATCTGCCGCTCATAGAAAGGGATTTACTGAAAAAAAATAAAGACATTCAGAAAAAGAGTCATTCTTTGCCTACTTTGATCATCTTGCAACACTGCTGATATCTTTTTTCTATAAATACCTGCATATCATAGTATTAGGCTTTTATAAAAGAGAATAAAATTTTACTGCTCTTAGCAAGTGTTAGATATGGGAAAAGATGAGCACTTCTCTCAAGAAAGAGGAGCAAATCTATTATTTATATCGAAAATGGGCCATCCAAGCAGAAACACAAACTTCAAACAGCAGGGTAATATCTTTGATCCCTTTGATCCCTCCATTACACAGAACGAAAACCCTTCTTTTAAATTCCTCACAGGCTAGGAACCAAATCTGCAAACAACTGATAACTTGAAACATGTTTAAAACCAGAGGCATGAAGCATGGTCATTCAAGAATGGCAATCCTCCGAAAGTACATAGAACTAATCATCATTTTGAAAGAGGTCCAAGATCTATAACTTAAGTTGAACTTCAATTATCAAGTACACATGTTTAAAACTAGTATCGGGTTGGTTTGTGGAGAAATGTGAGCAATCAGGCCAACAACAGATGTTCCAAATTGAATTGCAAAATTAGCTTATCTCAGCAACATCTCCAAATAATTGAGAAATTATCAAAAAGAAGTTAGGATGCCTGCTATGTGAGAGATGACAATGATAGCGGTACTACCTCATTTTCTGCAGATTTTGAAGCAAATTTGATCGTGCTTTCATCTGACATTTGATGAGAAAATTCATCCAGTTGTTTTTGACTTTCAGTTGATTTAGACATTGAAGCTTGGACAGAGGAAGAGGGCAAGGATGTTTGAGAATCTGACACAGTTAGAGATGAACCTCCTTTTGGCTTCGGATGCCCTTGGTCCGACTTCCCAAGTGGGATGCTTTCAGTTCTTTCTAACCTCCCATCTAGAGGTTTTGTTCTTGATATCTGGTCTTTGTTCACATTCCCAGAATCTGAATGCTGGATTGCTGGAGCAACTGTCCTTCCCCCAGCAGATTCACCTTGAGAAGGATTAAAAGCTGAACCATTTTGAAGAGTAGCAGGCTTTGAAGAAAGTGATGCAGCAGGCTTTAGTTCGAGATATCCCATGCCAAACTCCTCATCCGTAACCCATGATGGCTGTTAATGATAACAAATTTAGTACTCCTACATGTTGGGAGAATAATCAAATGGTTAAGAACTACAACTTACTTTTCTTGCAGCCAAAGCTGCAGCAACACCAGTCGCCAACACCTTAAGATCCTCTCTCTCATCGTTTTTTATTTTAGCGACCTGTACAGATAGCAAACAAAAAGAGAAGAAATCTTACATAGCGCTAAAAGGGAATAAATTGAGATAAAAGCAGGCTACATTCTACAGAACTTACCCGTTTTTCGAGGTTAATCCCAGTTTTTCGAGTAACAGGGAAAACACTAGAAATTTTTGTCAACATAATAAGAGCATTTCGAATCTCCATGTACTCATTTGATTCCAAGCATTGAATCAATAACCGCGTGATTCTTTGACTCCATTTCCAGTGTACCTGCCATCAAACCAACAGATGAAAAAAGAACAAGTTTACAATATGTATGAGAAATCCAGATCCTCATTGGAATCTGAACTGAAGCGGAACAGCCAAAGCCTATCTAAAATTACTTTAAGTCAATTTTTCTCCAATTATTACTGAGATTATCACTCAAAAAAATGAAAATCTTGTTCTGCCATGTGTCATTTGGTTATCTCAATTACCATCAGAATATTTTATAGCAAAGGACTCCACACAGGATACTTATGGTTATGGAACCAAGTATGTGTCATTTAAGGTGTCTTTTTTCTTATTTTTTTAGCAACAAAGGTATCTCCAAGATAGCTTTTCACACATTGAGAATCTCTCTCAGCCATCGAAAGGTGACAATTTCCAACATTGGCCTAGTGCATTCAAATTATTTGAATTCAAATGAAAGATTTGCTTAACCATAATTTGGATAAAGCACCAACTTCACTGTTAACATCAAAAGATTCTCCCAAAAACCACTAGAACAAAGAAGTTAATAGCAGAAAGACCAGAACAAGTAAAGCATGATGAAAATATTTTATTATAATAAATACTTTTCTTTTCAGTCTATTGGACTCAATTGCACTCATAGGCCAAGTTGGCTTGGTAGAACATGACAAATCCACAGAGGAAATTTCATTCTATATAAGTCTGAGACCTCACCTTAATGAACTGGCCGTAAGTGACACGCTGACTGTTTGGGTATCTGTAGTATACAGCAAAGCCTGGCATGTTTCCACACTCACGTTCATAAACAGATTCATCACTCTGCCCAAAAAAAGAAAAAGATGAAAGATCAATTAACTGACATTTTAAGCAAATGAAAAAATCAATTAAATGACAGTTTAAGTACCAATATAAAGAAGCAGATCTCAATCATTGTGAAATTAGTTACCTTCCAGTAATAAGCAATCTTCAATGTTTCATACAAAAACCTCCCAAGTCTTCCAGCTTCATATTCAGTGCAGCAGCATATCATTGGTTGTAAAGTTTTACATATCAGGACATCAATGTGGTTGACTGTATTAAAAAAAGGTGTCCCAAGAGAGTGAAGGGTATGAACAAACATAGCACAATAGACAGCATCCGGCATACTGAAAGTGCAACGTGGAAAGATACACCGCTGAAGAAACTCCATGTTTATCTTTAAAGTATCAGGGCATGAGCTCAACCAATTATCTTTCTCATGAGAAAGTCTTTTGCGAACAGATGCAACATTTTCTTCATGCTTATGGAGTTCACTAGTCAGACGATCTAGCGAATCTTGAATTCTTTCCTTGTCCTTTTTTCTCTTGGTAATTGCTGAACTAGAATTATCAGATAGCTCCTCCAGGGCCTTAAGAGCAGCATGCTGCTTGGCGATTTCAGACTCGTAACGGTTCCTAGGAACATAAAGATCATACAGTGTGAGGCCCCAGAAAGTTGCATAAAGATCAGGTGAGAGGCTATTCCAGGCTTTTGAAGGAAGCATCGTTTTAACAGTATCAAGAAGATCAGACCACCTGCACATAGAAATAAAAGCAAATAAAACAATCATCAAAATAGTAGACAACCGTTAAACAGTAGCATTTTAAGGACTAGCATAGGAAAAGGACTATTACATTATAGCCTTCCGAGGAGCACCGAGATCAAGAATTACTTTGTTAGCAACATCTATTGGCTCAGAATCCAAATTTCCAGTTTCCATATCTGTGGCCTCACTGTCATCTAATGGCCAGCAAACGTTACTGCTTCCCTGACACTTGAAGTGCCTCATTACAGGTCGATATATCAAAAAGGCAACCTAAAGCAAAAAATCCCCGAAGTAAGGATGATTAAAAACTGAAAAATCATGGTTTCAGGATCCAAAATAATTGTTAGACTGTTGGAATCAATTAGTTGTTTGTTTTGATTACTAAGAATTAGCATATAATTAGTTGTAATTACATTGATAAGTGTAATATCATCAACTATAAAAGCTGTACTAGTAATTGTTTTGGCAGTAAAAAGAATACGAATGAATTTTAAATTTCTATCTACAGCAATGTTCTTCTCCTTTCTTCAAATCCTTTTTTTTCCTCTTAACTTTTCTTAAAAATCATGATCTAGGATCTTGACAAATAGTACCAGAGCCAACATTCTGTCGGACACCTTAGACATCGGTCTGATCTGAAGAGAAAATAGGGTAGATGAAGGATATTGAAGAGAAGGAAAACAGAATATTTTTATTGATTAATTTCCATTTTCTCTACAAACAATGGAAGATGGCCATTTATAGGCCTAAATGCAATAAAGAAAACGTTCTTGTTGGCAAAATCAACTTGCCAAAATTACAGTGTCGTGAGCACAGCGTCCGCCGCAGATGAGATGAGATGGCTGACGAGTCAGCTGCGGGATTGATGAGCTAATCAGATTGACAACCCTAACCCTAGTTTCTATATTTTGTCTTTTGTGTGAATTTCCTAACTTACCCTCCCTTTATTCA